GCTTTGTAGTAAACAAACTTTCAAACTAGGAAGTGCGAGTTCTCCAACTTTTTCAACTATTTCAGTTATTATGGGCCTCCTATGAATTCTTGGATAGGCATGTATATATTTATAGGAGGGTTTTGCTATATTACCAGGGCTGGTCTCGACCCCTGGCCTCAAGTGATCCTCTCACCTCAGCCACCCAAAGTTTTAGGATTGCAGGTGTGCCCAGCCATCAAGATTTTGACACAGGAATTGCATTCAACATGTACATCACCTTGGTTAGTATTGATATTGTACTATGTCTTCCAGTACATGAACATAGGATGTTTTTCCAGTTTATGTCTTAATTTTTTCATCAATGTTTTTTGTAGTTTTCAGTGTATATGGATTTTCTTCCGTATCATTGATTGTTTATATCTAAGTATTTTGTTCTGATGTTACTGTAAATGGAACTGTATCCTTAATTTCCTTTTTGGATCACTCATTGTTAATATTCAGAAATGCAACTGATTTTGTAAATTGGCTTAATTAATTAGTTTTAACAGTTTGTGCATCAGCTTGATGTTTAAACACAGAAAAAGTGTGGCTATAGGATAAATTCACCACCTTGTTTAAGTCCATAGAATATTTTCATGTACAACCCGAAAATTTTTGCCTACTGTCATCAGAGATCCTGAGGTCTGCAAAATATCTAGTCATTATATGCAAAACTTACAAACTCTTATTTCATTAAGAAACAAAGTTCTCAAACTTACATCCTGAACAATCATTATGATGGGTTTGACTTTCAGGCTAATATTGAGTGATGTTAATTTGAATTTGATGAGAATATCTCAGAGGTTATGTACATGTAATTTTCATTTCAATAAGTATTTGTTGGGTGGTCTGGGGGTGATGTTTGGAGTTTAGACTCTAGAATTTGGTATCTAGATTAGAATCCTGGTTCTCCCATTAATTAGTTGTTTGACATTTGGCAAGTTTCCCAAATCACATTTTATTCCTCTTTGGTTTTTTTTTTTTGGAGACAGAGCCTCAAGCTATCCCCCTGGGTAGAGTGCACTGGCATCACAGCTCACAGCAACCTCCAACTCCTGGGCTCAAGCGAGCCTCCTGCCTCAGCTTCCCAAGTAGCTGGGACCACAGGTGCCCGCCACAACGCCCAGCTATTTTTTGGTTGCAGCCACCATTATTGTTTGGTGGGCCAGGCTGGATTTGAACCCGCCACCTTAAGTGTATGTGGCTGGCACCTTAGCCACTTGAGCCACAGGCACCGAGCCCTCTTTGTTTTTTTGGAGACAAGAGTCTCCCTCTGGCGCCCTGACTAGAGTGCCATGGCAACATTGCTCAGGCTGGTCTCAAACTCCTGAGTTCAAGCCATCCACTGGCCTTGGCCTCCCAGAGTGCTAGGATTACAGGCTGAGCCACTGTGCCTGGCCTTTTATTCCTCTTAAAAACTGAGATTATCTGTCCCACCAGATTGCTTGAGAATTAAGCAACTCTGTGTTCAATAGCAGTCAGAGTTGTTATGATCCTGAGCACATTACATGTTGGAAATAAATGTAAAGCTATGATGCACTCAGAGATGAAACTTAGGGAGTTTTAGCCCTCTGTGTAGGGTTGGAGACAGTAAATCATAAACAAGATCAATAATCCAGACAAACTCTGGCATAGCAATACAGGTTGAAAGTTGGTGTAGAATGGAGCATATCTGTGCCTGAACCATGAGTTTCAGAAAACTGACTTTTGGCCATGGCTTGGGAGAAAATACACTTTAATCATCTCTCATTGTCATCTTATTTAGAGGGAATCATCTGACTCTTAGGCATCATTTTACAGAGGAAAACTGAGGCTCAGAGAGCAAGGCCGCTGTTGCACTGTTAACAGGAGCACTATACACACTGTAGTCTATGAAAATGGCCCCTTCTCGAACACAAATATGAATGACTCCTGGAGTTGTACACTGCAGCAGCCCTGTTGGAGAGGTTACAG